AGCTCCATTGACGCTGCCGTCTTCTGACAGTGATGGCATTCTCATGTATTGATTGGTGACCTTTTTCTTATAGAGAACGGTTTAAAGTAATAGCAATGGAGGTGTCTTGTGTTGCTTGCATTAGTCTTCAGAATTGAGTTAAATACTAAAACTAGCCATACACTTAACTATCTGATCTGTACGATCTTCTTTAGACTTCAGGTCCCCACACACCTTACGATAATCGTACGATAATCTCGGGAAATCCCGCGATCGTACGATTATCGTAATGTGTGTGGAAGCCGTGCGACCTCTACTACTGTAAGGTCGCACGACTTTTAACTTACGGACATGTTCGAAAACCCGCCGAGCATCGTACAATGTTCGGCGGGTTTGTGGCATGTCCGTACGATAAAAGCCGTACGGGCCGGTGTGCGCAAGCGCACACTGCCCGTTTGGCATTGCGGTCATCGGAAGCCCGCCCCTCGGGGCGTGGCTTGCGATCATCGCAAGTACGATCTGCCTATGCAAGATAGGCAGATCGTACTTTTTTTTAAGTACCTTACAACCATCGCAAGACAAATGTCTTGCGATGGTTGTAAGGTGTGTGCCCAGCCTTATCAATAGCTATGTAACGGAAGGGCTCGCCTAATTGGATACAAATTGATTGGCTTTGTAGGCCCTGGAACTATGGAATCGATGTGTGTGTGTGGCGCCATCTACTTGTAGGCACCACAAGCTTCCTGCCTTTCTTACCGTAGATTATTTTTCAGGTCGGGACAGGTTCTCTTGAAATACTGTTTGGTTCTTTATTCCAGCATCCATGCAGCCTCATACAGATACAGTGTACATTATATGGCCAACTGTTTGTGCCAGTTGACCCACATAATTTTGGTCATATAGGTATTTGTGAGGAAGCCCCTCCAAGTGATTGAGCTCAGGTGTATCCAGTAAACTTCCAACCTGGTGGCAACAGTTTGGAAAAGGCCCTTTTCTGTTTCAGCATGACTGTCCCCTGTGCCCAAAGCCAGAGGCGTAAAAAACATGGTTTGGTGTGAAGGAACTCGAGTGTCCTGCACAGAGCCCTGACCTCAACCCTACCGGACATCTTTGGGATGAATTGGAATGCTGAATGTCTTCTTGCCCAACATCAGATCCAGCTCCATAAAGACCGTAGTTTGGTGCAAATAAACTCTGGTGTCTGGCACAGTGCCTTGACCTCAACCCTTCCAAACACCTTTTGGATGAACTGGAATGCCAGTTGTGAGCCAGCTCTTCTCATCCAACATCAGTACCTGACCTCACAAATGTTCTTTTGGCTGAATGGACACTATTCCCCCAGACGCACTCCAAAATCTTGTGGAAAGCCTTCCTAGAAGAATGGAGACTGTTCTAGCCACAGAGGTTGGCCAAATCCATATTAATGGCCATGGTTTTGGAATGAGATGTCCAAGCAGCTGGTGTAGGTGTGATAGTCGGGGTGTCCAAAAACTATTGGGCATGTAGTGTGCATACTCCCCAACTTTTATGCTTTCACACATTTAGGATATCATTCTGTGATCTAAATATATAAATGTGTTTAAATATTTAAATATGCAATGTGCTGGAAATGGGGTATGGTGATGTAGAGAATTGCATTGGAGGAAATTGTGTTTATCAGACTTTGGCATGGTGGGCCGTGTGCCCACAAGTCTGCCCGGAGATAGATATTAAATATTGTTATTTATAGTTCTTTTCATTTTTTTATTGCTTGTATGGTTGTAGACATATGCTCATCCTGTCTCATTTATGCCTCATTCACACTTGCGATTTGGGATAGCCTCTCGAATTGCTTCGTAAGACTGCTGTGTACAGGAAGCCCTATACAAAGCAATGACCCTTTCAAACCCAGATATCACTTTGTAAAGGTAGTAGTGACATCATCACTGTGATGTGCATAGCCTGCGCAGAGAACAGAGCTGTAGGAGGAGCCCAGCAGGCCCCACCCACTTGTCTCTAGATAGGCAGAGCCAGTTGTCAATCCCGAAGCTGGGTGGATCCAGACAGTATTGTCGGGATCCCTCCCGGCTGTGGCGTCTCAGTATACCCGAGCTGTAGCTCGCTGTATACTGAGCTTTGGGTGACGGGAGGACGCTAGTTTGTGTTCTCCAGTGACCCTTAGGAGAACGAAGGGGAAAAGCCCTGACCCCATAGTTCTCCTTTTTAAGGTCTCCAAAAAAAAAAGTAATGCTCTCCTTTGACAATTCCTTGTGGTTTCCCTTTTAATAAAGTTGATCAGCTCTTCTGTAGTCCGTAGCAGCCCCTGTTCATAAAGTAACAAGATGATAAAACCGTGACACGTCGCCTTTCTCTTTTTTCACCTTCAGAAAATGTAAACCGCAGGTCTAGAATCTTCTGCATTCATAAAGTCATTTTATTCAGGGCAGTGCGGCATGCTGAGCGATCTGGAGGATGCGAGCTTCGCCAAGTCCCTGCACTGTGTTGTGACAGTTTGTTGTCTGATTGCAGCTCCTTGGGCCAGCATTTCCCGGGGGCTCCAATACGCCGCCAGTTATCTTCCCGCTGGGACTTTTATCTGCTACATTTTAATTGAAATGCAGCCTTAATTAAATCCTGAGGGGGGAGGGGGAGAGAGTTCAGGCGATGGCCAGCATCCAGGAGCGATGAGGTTCCTCAGCTATCCCGCTGCATCTCTTTGCCTAGAATAGAGGGATTTTGGCACTCGGTGACTGCAGGGCGGATTAACCCTTTTACTGCTGGTCATTTGTCTGCCTGTAAAATCCTCGTCCGGGTCCTTGGGCTGTGTGCGGTTTCCCAAATAAAATATCTTCTGATTAGGGGTCTCCAATCCTTATCAGATGCAATAAAAGGTGCAGCACGCATGTATATCTGTAAGAAAAAAAATATCTAAAGGAAATGTTTGTTTTAGTATTCTCCAAAAATAGGCAAATTATGCAATGTTTGAATTGAACTATTTTTGGTTTTATTGTAAAAGTTTTAACTGCATTGTGTTGGTGTTTTTTCCATCCTCCACTGCTCCTAAGGACCCAATTAGGTCAGTGCATTGCGGTAACACGCGCACGTTTAACGTGGGTTGCTTTAGGCGGCCTGTTCATTGTAAATGGGCCACCAAAGCATCACAATGCACTACAAGCAAACATGCTTTTTTTCAGTGCAGGTTCTCATTTGTGTGTTGCATTCCTCTGCCGCACGAAGGCGCTGTAGTGCTTTGGGGTGTCATTTAAAATGAATGGCATCACAACACATTGCGCTTTTGCTTTATGCATGTTTGTGCATTGCAATAACGTGCTTTTTACTGCACGAAGACCCCTCATAGGTTGACCATGTATGGTACAATCTGATTTTACGATCTCCTTTTTAGTTCTACCAACATTGTAGCACAAGTTTCTATCTGGATACCAAGGTAATGGATAGTTTGGGTATGTTCTCACATTTAAATAACTTTGGTTAATATAAATTTATAGATCTTGTTTGACCGAAATGTACTGCGTATGGCCCACTTATAGACATGGGAGTGCTGCCCAAAATGCATGCGTAATAAGATTGTCCAGGAGGGGCACAACCACATTGAGATGGAGGAAAAATGAGGATTGCACCCTGATGGAAGGAGGAGGTGGGGAAGGGAGCATTCAAAGTGCCACTAATCACCAAATTTGTGGGATTAGTTTGGGGAAGAGGGGTTAAAGCATACCGTCGCTCGCTCACTTCTCAATCTTCTCCCTGCAGAGAGTGACTGTCACTCACGGCACCCCACAGGGATTCCCCCCTCCCTGCTCCGATCCTCCAGCGCTGACTGGAGGAATGGACGGGGGAGGGGGCGGGCACAGCTGGCTCTGCCTCTAGATGGGCAGAGCCAGCTGTCATTCACGCAGCTGGGCGGATCTCGACAGCATTGTAGGGATCCGTCCCGGCTGCGGCAGTCTCGGTATACCGCGAGCTGTAGCTTGCGATATACTGAGCTTTGGGTCACGGGAGGATGCTAGTATATGTCCTCCCGTGACCCTAAAGAAAACTATGGGGAAAAACACTTACCGCATAGTTCCCTTTTTAATGCACCTGTAAATGGACTGGAATGCCTTGCTGGGCATGTTGGGGGTTTTTATTTCTATTTGAGAGGATTTTCAGTCTTCCAGTAGCTGCTAAGCGCAGTTTGCCTTGTTGATTGGCATATCTGTCTCTGCTGACCCATACAATGCATATCTGTCTCTGCTGACCCATACAATGCTATCGGTTACAAGCTTGCTGGAAGTTGCTAGTGGCCAGGAAAAGCTGGCACACACGATGGATTCCAGAACGCGCGGCATTGTGCTGCGGTGTGGGAAAAGCGTCGTCTCCCCCTATTTTTTGCATTTCTCCTCCTCTGGGTCAAACAATTGAACAATCTCCAGCACAATGCCCTGACGTCCCGGCTGACAATACAACATTGTGCGCTCGGCTCCGTCCCTTCCCCCTGGAGGATGCAGCCACATCATGTAGTAAAATCCCCAGTTCCTCTCTATGTATGTGAATAGTTGTGGAGGAAGACGAGGGGAGGGCGGAGCGCGATGACGGCGAGGATTAATTCATATGCTGGAAAACACGTGTAAACACGCTTTATGGCTCTGATGAATTCACACTGACACGTGTTCAGTTAAGTGGAAGGTGAAGTGTGCTGGCCTGTAGCCACCAGTCAGAATTCATTTTTCATCGATCTGACTGCAGCTAACCGAAATCTGATTGGTTCTCAGCAATTGCTGCACCCCATTCACACCAAATCGCGAGCATAGCCAGGTGTTTTAGAAACTTTTTTTTTTTTTTGCGTGTTTTTTTGTGTATATTCACACGTGACTTGTAGTACAGGAGCAGAATGCAGCGGGGCAACTCTTGTCAGGGGGCAGGAGTTTCTAGTCTTCCAGTACATCAAATAAGCCCATATGGTAGCCCATGATGTAAAGTGAAGTAATCTTGTTGAGAATCCAAGCAATACCTCTCCAATAAACGTTTTTTTTTTCTTTTCCCAGGTATGGTCTGTATACGCGGACCAGACTCGGCTACTGGTTCTACAAGAGACAGCTGAAGAAGGCACGAGAACGCTTCCCACATGGACACTCTTCTACACAGGCCATCGTCTTCAGCGGTACGTTGTCCTACCTGACCACAGCTAATCACTTGAAACGCACCTCTGGCTCCATTTCTTCTTAGTTTTGGATAGAGTGGGGAATAGGTTAACCTCTTGCCGTCCGCCCGTAGTAAAAAAACGGACGGACGGCACTGAAAAAAAAATGTAAGTCCCCACCCCCCAAATACACGCGCAGATATGCGTCGGGTGCGCCAACGACTATTGCGCCTATTGTGTTACATGTTACATATCGCCGCAAACGTCGGAGTCAGAGCAATGATTTTAGAGCCATTAATCACTGATGGCACTAAACTGATGAGCAGTAAAAGTGTTTTAATCGTCGCCTATGGGCGTTTTTCACGATTCTGCGGGCGCACGCAATTTTAAGGCTTGACATGTTTGGTGTCTATTTACCGGACGTGATGAACTCGATGGACTTGTGTCTTTTTTTTTAACCTAACTATGTAACTGTAGGTATGCTTTGAAAGGGGTTCCATGGGAGCCATCGGAGGGCTCCTCCATGGTAAAAAGGTTGAGAAAAACTGGTATAGATGTCTATGGGGCTGTAATACGCAGCTTTGGCCAGGACGGCGAGACTTCCCACTCTGGCCGTCAGATCAAGGTATGTATGGGTCTTTGTTAGGGGGGGGGGGATGGGTTAAGTTGCCCAACACTTGG